TGAGGGGCGGTAGGCCCTATAGGTCGCCATACCAAACAAAAATACCAAGCCGATAAAGGCCAAGACTGTCCCAATCATCAAAATGATCTGAATGAACACAGTTCCTCTTTGGACATCAAAATCCAGCAGCATGCTTCCCACCACGATCACAGTGATCAGGAAAAGTGCCAGGCCTCACTTGTTGAAATGAAACATAGGCGTCTTCTGACTGGATCCTAGATTCGTCCAACTCTCTACATGTGCATGCACAGTCATGCACATGCACAGGCTAACGCATGCGAGCGCGTCGTGCTAAGCATGAACATTTCCTTCGATCGCACACCAGGCAGCATGAGTCCATGTAATTCGACATCGCCGTACGCCATGGCCAGATGCGGGCCTCATGCCAGGACGGTCATGCAGTGCCGGGCACTTCTGCCCCCTCACCGCCCTGCCTGTAAAACTGTGTACACAGACACAGTGATCGTAAGAAAAATGAACTGCAGCTCCGCAAACTCCACTAAGAGCACCTGAATCAGCACCAGCACATCCGCTGGCTCTCATCCAATGCTCTTGGACTGTCAGGTTGCCCTCTTGCTCCAAGGCACCGGGATGAGGCCGATCAAGAGGTTGCGCATATTCAGCACGAAGGCGAAGTAATAGGCGTTCGGGCTGAAGCGGGCAAACATGAAATTCCAGCGCTTCACGAAGTTTACTCCTCCAGGCTTCGCCACCTTCATGGGATACTGAATGACCTGAGGCGCAAAGGCGACCCGCAGAGCCCGAGGACACATGGCGATTGCAGAACCTGACAAGGGGCAGCCCAAATGACAAGGCCCATGAAGGTCACAACACCACCAAAGAAAGGCAGCAAGGAGAGGCCGACCATGGCCTTGGGGACTCGGACGCATCAAAACAAGAACTTGTGACTTCCACCCAAAACATGGGGAGCGGGCAAAGTGGTCGGCATTCTCCCAACAAATCACATCGCGGAAGGCTGCCAGGGAAGACGTGCCATCGGGGTTCCCGATGCATTGAAAAGGCTTCACGGCCAAGAACGTCAAAGCCTTGGTTGAAGCCAAAATCGAAGCTATGGATCTGATTATCTGAAAGGATGCGGCAACCGTCTGTCTGCTCGTGCAGCCTTGCACTGAGGCAGCAGCAATGAAGACTGCAGAGACGATCAAGCCCTGTGCATTGATGACCTGGTTGAGAGTGATCTCCTTTTTAAGCACATACTTTGCAATTGCAAAGACCAGCATGACGGCACCCGCACCCATTGGGTACATGATCAAAGATCCAACGTAGTTCTGCAGCGGATCAACATTCCCGAACCAGCAGCCAGGACGAAGGATGCCGATGTCAAAGGTCAAGAAGGACAAGAAGCCCCGAAGCGTCTTCAACGGTTCGACCCACTGTACTTCGACCTTGGAAAATGCCGACAGCGTTTGCACTGTCGCGATAGCCAGCCCAGCACCAATCGTCACCGTCATCAAGGAGTCTCTGTGAGGTTTATCGACCTTCGTCGCAAACTTGTAGAGCACCAAAACAAGGACCACGGCAGCAAAGAGTGCCACGAAAAGAGGCCAAATAGTGAATGTGCCACCCTCACACGTCAGGCAACTGGAGCCATCGTCGTAATTGTTCGGAAGGCAGGTGAGGCAAGCCTTGCCTCGGTTGTTGCCGGGGCATTCGCCAAGTGGCCTCAGCTCACAGCACAGCAGCGCGCACTGCAGAGTGCACTACTACTGGATACTACTAATTGGAGGCTTCAGAACCTTTATCTTCTCGAAGCAGAAAGTGACGGCTCTGGGGGGATATCAGGAATGGCCGAGTGGCAGGTCCCCAGGACACCGGGTAGAGCTGCTGCACTCGACGACATAACTCGGGTCACCACCTTCGTAAGGCTGGGCTCCAGCAGAGAAGCCCACAGACTGAAGAGGAGGTTGATGGGGTGGAATCGTTGCGTTCAGTCGACGGCCCCCGCTGGACGTCATACGACCTCCCTTGCAGCTTAGGCCGGTGCCACACTCCTTGCACTCCGCCACGTTCGTTGTTGCAGAAGTTCGGTGCCAGAAAGTGCCAGCAGGACAGACACACTCATGACTATACTTGGAACTGGGATACAGCGTTGTGCTGCCCGGAAGGATCAGCTCGCACGCCATACAGCTTTGAACGGTGCCTATGGGCGTTGCATCTGCGGGGTCCTTGTAAGAACCCACATCACAAAGACAAAATGTCTGCCCGACATCGGACTGCGAGCTTCGAGCAGGGCAAGGCTTGCACTGTTCAAGGCCTCGTTCGTCCGCGTAGGTCTCTGAATCGCACAAGCTGCAACCTCCTGTGCTGTCACCGGCTCTTGCCGTACCCAAAGGGCATTGGTTGCAAACACCGCGATCAGACTCGCCGTTCTGATAGCGCCCCGCCGGGCAGGAGCTGCACTCGGTGGACCCGGTGACACCCGGTAAAGTCCCGAGGCCCTCCGGGCATTGTTGACACTCCGAGAAGTTCAGTCCCTGGCTCATAGAATCACGGAACCTTCCCTCGGGGCACAAAATGCACTGTGTGGGGACATCGAGGGTGGTGCTCCCGCCGGCATACGTCCCGACTGGGCAGCCCAAGCGTGCTTCCCAGCTGGGGCTCGGGAAGCGGAAGGGCGTGGCCGCTGCCTGACGACATGTCGCATGTGACCTAATTACGAAATTTGATAAGCCTTTCGGATTCTACGACCAGCCCCACCATCCCCGGCTTTCCTGCCTCTGGCGGGAGCACAGGCCTGACACAGCGAGCAACCAGAAAGAAACCCCTTTCTTCATCCCGCACGTGTGGAGATGAGAATGAGTGAGAGGGAATGAGAGAGAATGAGACAAAATGACAGAGAATGAGAGAGCGAGATTCCCGGTACCTTGAAAGAAACTCCTTCAACATGACTGCACTGATCTGTACTCTCGCTGTCTCTCTGGCTTGGTACCTGGTGTCACCATCCTCGAGTATCTGCCAGTTCACGCTCATGCGGCCGTTGTTCTGGTTGAAGCGATTGAATCTGACCATTCCGTAAAGGGTCTCGTCATTCAGGGTGCCCACCGACATGCGAACTTCCTCCCGACGCTGGGCCAAAGTCAAGCCATCCAGAGCTTGGCCATACTTCTGCAGGCCGAAGGTGATGGAGATACCAGCGGCCATACAAGCCGCCGCATCCTGAGCTGAGCTGTGTCCGCGCGGCCATTGCACTGCAATTTCGCAGAAACAGCTGAGGCAGGCGCGTAGCCCGGATTCTTACCAAATTGCTGGTTGAACACGGCTTTCATCTGCGCGCTGCTGCCGAAGATGGGGTCGGAAAAGCCCATTTCGTGGTGCCACTGACCTCCCCCGATATTGTATAAGGCCTGATCCTGACCAAGAGCCAGAGAGCCATTTGCCCAGTAGGTCCTCAAGACTGCGACCGCATGACCGCATCAAAACTTATCTCGAGAGGCGCAGCTGTGGTCACTCCGACAGACTTCAACCAAGCATCTCATAACCGTTCCAAGCAGTGCCTGGATAGTTCGGCCCTCCGAAGTACATTCGGTAGCCGAACCGCTGATTCATCATGGCCATCAAGCCACTTCGTGCTGCGGCCAGCCAGTTGACGACCTAAGGTGGGCGACATTAGTTGTGAAGAATTCTGAGGGCCTCTCCCAAGCTGTCCAAGTGACCATGTCAGGATCCCCTCCTTGAGAGCGAACATCCTGAGAATCGAAGACTATGAACGAACGGTTCTTTGAGACTCTGTGTTGCTGAGCACAGTCTTGCAACGCTGGGCCTGAATGATCCCCTCCACGAACTCGACCAAAGCAGGAGAAATTCCAGGCCCCCGTGTGTCAAAACCTGGCTCTACAACCAGGGCCTCGGACACCTCATAGAAGCTTGGCATGTCTGCAACGTTGTACTTGTAGCCCATGTTGTCGTACTCCGATTGTGTTCCACATCGGCAGTTGCCGTTCTGTATGCCGCAGGTTGTTGTCTTGTTGGCCCACCGCTGGCACCAAGCCAATGTGGGCCCGATGATCTGCATGGAGCTTTCAAGGCTCCACTCCATTGCAGCTACGGCAGAGATGCGGGGAAAGCCCCAGTCGTAGTTGCGGATCACGACAACGGTCTTCAGCTCCAAGAGCGCAGCCTGCACAGCTACTAGAAACTCGGCAACGGCACCGAAAGCGCACGAGACTCGGCGAGCTCTGGAATCTGCCTGGCGGATCGGGCCCCTGGAGTACCAAGGAAACGGCAAGTGCAGGCCTGGGCATCGCGACGAAGCAGTAGCTCTATGCCGTGGCGCAAACAAGGCCAGGACCGAAAGCATGCGGTGTCGCTGCCGTCCAGGACATGGGGTTCCCACCTTCAGGACCACGTGGAGCGAAGCAGCCGCCTACAAGTTACCAAACGCCCCCACACAGGTTTCTGCCTGAGCAGTGCAGGTTCGGGATGCCGTAAGCCTCTGCGGCGGTTTTGACGTCGTCGTTGGAACTCGAGGTTCCCACAACGATTGCATCCACGCCCTGTGCTTCAGCCTGGTCTACACACGCATTGACCTTGGTTAAGGCATCTGTCGAAAGGTCCTCCTCGCAGAGCGACACGTCCAATGTATGCTTCTCGGTTCCCCCTGCTATGGTAAAGCCCTGGATGTTCACATAGGGAACGAAGAAGTCGTAGAAACCTTCCTTCCAACCTGCGTTTGCCTGGGCAGAGTTATGAAGCATCATCACCTTGACAGTGGCAGAGTCCACCATACCAATGACGACAGAAAGGAGCAGCCACATTTTGTGGCCTCCACGTATCGTCATGGCACGGATGCACAGGCTCTCTTACGGGACCTGTTTGCCGAGCCAAATCTTGCGACATGCCTGAGTTGCGCAACCTGCTAGAGAGCTTCCTGCCTTGCTCTCTGACAACGACAGTGGCGGACATGCGAAAGGCATCAAGCGTCCAAGATTTTCGTGCCAGCACTCAAACGTGCTCCTGCCGCACAGCGCCAACTCAGAGTGTCAGTGCTCGAATCGCTCGAGGTATCGCGAGCGGAACCTTACAGGGCGGACCCAACCGGCGCCATGCACGCTCTCCGAGAATTTTCCAGAATCTCCGAGACCGATGCCAGCGCCAGGTGATGGACAAACGCCGCTCCGAAACCGCCGGAACCTCCGTCGGAGGTCAAGGTTGCGGGCCACGCGCCGAAGTGAGCGCTTTGCTCGCTGTTCCTGGCCTCATGGCCCCAGTCATAGCGAGCCGGGCCCTGGAAGCACATGGCCAGGCCCGTGCACTCCGCCACCGGACCCGCCTGGCCGCCACGACGAAGAGCAACTCTCGCTTGGCAGCTCGCTTGCTTGGCCTTTTGATCTGGTTCCTTCATGTGCTGCAGGACCAAGCCATCCCCTGCTCCTCTCAGAGCGACTCTGGAAAGAACTCCCTCCTTCCTCCCTTTCCGGGCCTCCGGCTCGCAGCACCACCGCCAGAACCGGCTCCTGTGGATTTTGTATTTCGACGGGTGCCGAAAAGCCACCTCGAAGCTGGCTGCCTCGAACATCTCCTTGCTGTCGATGTGCAGCTTCAAGCCCTCAAGGCCGAAAAGGCTCGGGAACCACACTTCGTCCCGCAGCGAGCAGGCCTGCCCGGGCCGGTATTGCCGGACCATGACTTGGACTAAGGCCCTGTCGGCCTGCAGCAAGACGATTTCAACAGCTTCTCCGGTCACACGAGGCTCTTGGCACGAGTCGAGCTGATCGCGCTTTCAGGCTGCCTCCAGGCCAAAGCTCACCTCCGCTGCCCGCATGAGACGGTCGCAGGCGGGGTAAAAGTCGGGGCCAGGAAGCCTCCTTGGTCAGCCAGTCAGCAGCAAACTCTTCGCAAGACGGCTTCCCGTTTTCTTCCAAGCGTAGCAGAGTATCCTCAGCCGGCCCCGACCACCGCGCAAGGTAGTGAAGGAGAACTGCATTTCCAGCTTCCGCTGGTTCTGAACCAGGCATGCATCAAGCTCAGACCTGTTGCGACCGCAAGTCAACAACAAGTCCATGCACCCGCACATCACCCCGGTGTTCAATCTTTGCCTTGCATTTTCTGCAAGGCTCGCCGGAAGCTTCAGCAAGCGGAAGCCAGCGGGCCAGGTCAGAGCCTGCGTACCTGAATCATGTCACCACAGGGCCCACAGGGCAAGGAGCGGTAAATTCACGGGAGTCTGCGCCTGTGCTTCGAAGGCACACCGCAAGGGCAAGTACGGCCACCGCAAACCGTGCGGGCCGCATGAGAGGAACCGCGGCATCGAGTTGTCATGACCGCTGCAGGCCGAATACCCACTGTCCGGCTTGCAGTCTGCACTGCTGCAACTTTTCTATATGCACTTTACTTTACTCATTATGCAGATGTTGCGCACCAGGCAATTCCGAGCCGGACGTCTGCCAACAGAACCGAGGTTCAGAACTGCCCGACCCCTTTGCAGATCGGACTGTATCGTGTCCCCGGTCAGTTGTTTCAGATCTGTCCACACCATTCATTCTTCCCCCGCTGACGCTAGAGTCCGACAACATCCTATCTATCTTTGATGTCACCACCAGCCCTCTTGGCAGCTTGCGTAAAACGTCTGCCTGCCAACCAACAAAGCCGAAATGGCAGTTTAGAGTACTGCGCTCTCCACTGTAAAACGATAATGGTTTCGCGAGCTTCTCTTGTCCCTGTCCGAGCAGTCTTCACAAGTTTTGCCGCACCGCATGTCTGAACGGAGATCTATCTGTGTCTGTCTCAGGACAGAGCCAAACAGCTAAGAGCCCTGCAGTTGAAAATGCAGGGAAATGAATGCACAACTATTTACATGGCCGCATGTCACCTAATGTGAGAGAGCGACCGCTGTCCCAAAGTCTGAGATGCACCTGAGAGGCTCCGTGACATCACGGGCGCCCAAAGACTTCGAGTACGATGCGTTGGGCTGCCGCCATCGTCGGCCTCCGGAGTGCAATCCCAGCATTGCCTCGTATTGGCTTGCCTCTGGGGCGCTGGCAGCAGCAAGGCCCTGGGAGACCACAGTCCTCGGCTCTGGCCCAATACGAGGTGTAGTGAGTCTTCATGCATCGCATGTCGAAGATTTCGTGGTAGCCTAAGCAATCAGTACGGGCAAACTTTATGTTAAGAAACCTACGTTGCTGATCCAGGGTCTGGGAACTTTCTTAACAGAACACAGTCGACAACTCTCAGCTGATAGCTTGATTCCTTCCCTTTCCGACATGCTGAAGTCACCGTTTGCCGAGTCTCGACAAACGTCGATTTCGACGTAGCATTCCTGTCACTGCAGCTTCCCCGAAAAAACAGAAGCTTGGCTCCGTGGAACTTGTGTCATGTCACGTTCAGAGTCGTCCATGCCTGCATTTGGTGACGATGGCACAGGAATCTGGAGATCTGCTGACGGAGCCTCAACTGCCAGACGCAGTCGTTAGCATGCGAAACAAGTTGGCGATCTAAGAGTCCCGCAGGGCGCTCCAGCAAATAACTTGCTGCCAGCCTTTCGGAGCATTTCGAAGATGACTGATGGGTGGGAACAGGGGAGCTGACAAGCCGGGAGCACCCTTCCAGATCTCTGTTGCG